ACAGATAATACATACATATATACATACATTGACACATACATACATACATCGATATGTTAGAAAAAGCAACAATACAACTTTATATTAATTTGTTTTTGTTCCATTTTTAAGATACCCTTAAACAATTTCAAAAATTTTAAAAGTTGAATTCATCCTCATCATCATCATCTTCGTCTACTTCTTCATCATCGTCATCGTCGTCATCATCATCAAAATATTAGTAAAAAACCAACAAAAGATTGGATGAGAGTTTACTCATTGTTATGTTAATTACCATTATCGATATCTGTTAACATTATGTCCATACATACTACTACTACTACTATTACTGCTGCTGCTGCTGCTACTACTACTGCTTCTATTACATCTCTACTACTACTTTTACTACAGCTGCTACTCTAACAAAACCTGGGAAGACAACGTCAACAAAAGCCACAACAGCCTGCTACTAATATTACAACCATTATTAAAATTACGATAAATCAATGTTAGATGGAGATGAATAGACAGACAGACAGACGCAAAGACAGACAGACACAAAGACAAACAAACAACCATATAGAATGATAGATAGATAGAGAGTAACTTGTTTTAATTTGTTAGCGCTGAATGGCGTTAAAAAACATGAATGCCAATTTTAATAAAGAACTTTACGATTTCTTGGACAACAGTAATATATTGACTTGCAAAGAAACGAACAAAGTGATGAATTATGACCACTACTACAAAATAATTAATTATGACCACTACTGCTGCTGCTACTGCTGCTGCTTCTACTACTACTACTTCTACTACTACTACTTCTACTACTACTTGTACAACAGCTTCTATTTGTGTTAATATCATTTTTCTTATTATTATAACTGTTTTCCGAAGTATTGAATAAAGTCTTTATTAATAAAACTCGATCGTAAATTAATTACTATTTTATTGGTGTATTGCGTTGGTTGTAAAATGTGTTAAACGGTTTATTGGTATGTGTGTGTTTGTGTGTGTATGTTTTTGTAGGTGTGTATGTATGTTTGTATGTATGTTTGTATGTGTGTATGTATGTATGTTTGTATGTGTTTGTATTGTGAGTGCGCTGTGTGTATTAGTTCGTATGTGTATGTATGCAGATGTGTTTGCATGCAAGTGTGTGTGTGTGTGTCTATGTTGTGTGGGTGTAAGTTTATGTCTGAGTGTGTGTATGTTTTAAATTCCTTATACTAAAAAAAAGATGAAGAAAATAAAATAATATAAATCAAACTGACTTTCAAAAATAAAAGAATAAAACTACAGTTATTGCTGTAGAATTAGCTAGATAATATCATTAAGATATGATTCTAAATCCTTTAAAAATTTTCCATTGAAAAAAATTATTTTTTCCTATATTCATAATGATAATTATTTATTACGAATAAAAAATCATATAATTTGTTTTGATCAACGATTTATTTTTAATAAATTTAATTAATATTTGTTAATATTTAATTTTTTGTATTTAAATAAAAGAACAACTTTTTAACAAACCTGTACATAAATAAATATTTTTTATTTATTTTTATAAAAAGTATATATACCAAATAGTGTAAATAATTTCAAAATAATAATAATAATTGAATTTATTATTTAATAATAATAATAATTCATAATAATAAGAAGAATAAAAATAGTAAGCAGAAAGAAAAGAGGAAGAAATATACTGAACTTTATAAATTTTTCAACTCCACTGCTTTAAAACGAAAGTGTTGAAATAAAAGATTTTGTTTATATTGTTTAGTTTATTTAAATTCATCTAAAATGTTTGTTTGTGTACGTATGTATGTGTGTGTGTGTGTGCGTGTCTGTGTAGAGTTTATCTGCTAAACGTCAAGTGGAGCAGATTAAAATTATCTAATTACATTCGTTACTCTTTTGTTGTTTTTATTATTATTATTAATTATTATTATTAATTATTATTATTATTAGTAGTAGTAGTGGTTGTATATTTATTTATTATTTATATATTTGTTGTACATTAATGGCCACATATTAAAAATATTAATATAATATAATGTGAATAATAATGAATATTATATAGAAACATTCATCCAAATTTCACTAATTAATTATCTAGTCTTTTAACCAATTATTTAATTAATTAATTAGTTAATTCATTCATTCATTAATTCAGTATTTTTCAGATCTTTCTTTAAAAGGAATCTGTCCAAGAAGCATTCATTGTATCAATTCGAGTTAAACTTATCCCCAATTGTAATATTAAAATTCTAATAATAATAATATTTTCAGTATGAGTATTAATTCTAATATTAATAATAATAATAAAAATAGCGATAATATTATTTCTAATAATTTAGTAATATTAAATCAGTAAAATCAGTAAAAATAATAATACTTCCCATTTATACTTCCCAATAATACTTCTCATTATTCCAGTAATAATAATAATAATTCTCATTCATACGGAAGATGGAAGATATAAGAGAGGATTTTTGGATAAATGGAATACACACACACACACATATATATATACACACTCAAACACACACACACACACATGCAAACTCAAACACACACACACTTGAAAATAAACATACATAAAGGTACACACACACATATATACACATGTAACATTAGCAATACTGTAAATTTACTGGATTTACTGTATGTTTGTAATAGATTTTTATGGAATTTAAATATCAGATTAATTATTATCCTATATTTTTAAATATATATATTTTATACATTGAAATATCATCAATAAAAAAGAAATTCAGATATCTATATTTCGCTTTATAATGGTAGAATATTGTCTTTTAACCTTTTCTTCATTATGTAATTATTTATAACTAGATAACAATTTTAGTAATTATTTGAATTAATTATTATTAGTATATTTAATATATGTAATTTTATATTCTATTATTGTTGTTCTATTAATTGTCTCATTTTTGTTTTATGGTTTTAAAAACCGGAAAGCCCATTAAAATTATTTGTTCATAATCGCCAAAAAAGTGTCTCTTCAATAAAAGTATTAATTTAAAAATGAATGAACGAACGAACGATCAAACGAACGAACGAACGAACGAACGATCAAACGAACGAACGAACGATCAAATATAAATGAATAAATAGATAGATATCAGATATATATAATTCACCCTGATTTCCGTAATCATCATGACGTAATATAATTATAATTAAATATATAATTTAAATTAAAGTAAATTATGAGTAAATATAATTAAAATTAAAGAAAGTTATAATTAAAGAAAGTTATAATTAAATATAATTAAATAAATAGAGAACAAATTATTCTCGAAGTGATTATAGACAATTTGTTTGAAAATAAGTTATAATATAATATTATTAACATATTATTTAATAAATGTTATTGTTAATATCAATAGACCATAGAATGTCGAAATATGATTAGTTTTTATATGCATATCTATGTAGGTTTTATAATAATATAAATAATAAATAAATATATATATATATAGAGAGAGAGAGAAAGAGAGAAAGAGAGAGAGAAAATTGTATACATTTTATAGTTGTTTAATAAAAATTTTCAAAATTGAAGTGATATTTAAAATATTTTAATATATTTAAATTGAATAATGTTATACAATTAAATAAATTTTTAACGATAATAACATTAACTTCATAATAATTTTAATTTAAGTAAAAATATAGATTAATAACAATAACAATGAGATGAAACAACAACAACAACAACAATATCAACAACATTTAATACAGAAATAATAATAATAATATAAAATTTAGTGATATAAATAATAATATTAATAATAAGAAGATACACCAAAATTTTTACAGATAACCATAATATACAAACAAATATACACAAAAATAAACCAAAAATCATACAAAGTATGTATAAATGATTTAAGGTATAAACAATTATTACATCCAATACAATAAAAAATACAAACATTAATAAAATAAAAATACAATTTGTAAATCAATTGTTTACATTTTATCTGAATAAATAGCTATTAATTATTTTAAAATTAGGAATAAAAACAGTAATAATAAATGCCATATTTTAAATAGAACATAAACACACACACACAGACACACACCCACGTACACACACACACACACGTATACACACAAACACACACACATACATATTAAGTAACATAGGACGATGATAAACAACTTTAGATATTTATGCATAACTCTGTTTGATGTACTATTTACCTACAATTTATGTAAAATGAAAGTAGAAAAATATTAAATAGAATATAAACGAATAGTTCACACGCACACAAGTACACACACACTCACACACACACACACATACACGTACAGTCACATAAACATTTTTAGAAACTTTACCCTTTTTAAACCTGGAAAATTATGCTTTGTATACCAATATTATATGGCTTTTTTATGTCTGTTATTAAAAAAATATATTATGAATCAAAATTAAATTATTAAATTATAGAACTAATAGCAATAATATCATAATAATGATATTAATTATGATTATATTTCTTATAAATATAATAACATCGACTGCCATTTTTGTTTAGTTGGCTGGTTGGTTGATTGGTTGGTTGGTTGGTTAGTTGTTTAGTTAGTTGGTTGGCTGGTTTGTTGATTGGTTGGTTGGTTGGATGAGAATTGGTTGATTGATTATTGATTAATTTTTTTTTTTGTGAAATGAACTTGCACGTAGCATTTGTTCCCAAAACCCCTATCATATCGTAATAATAATTAATTTTAATTAATTTTATTCAATAAAATAATTATTTCTAGTATAATTACCATAATTTGTAGTATAATTATTATTTTACTCTAAATAATATTTATAATATTTATGTTATTTTATTTATATAGCTTTATGGCATTATTTAAAAGCCATTCCTTGCTAGGTAGTTTTATGTATAAACATAATTTAGTATCTTCATAAATATAGACATAATATACTAATAGTAATATTATTAATTATAACTAAAATGTAATATTTTTATAAATATAAAATGAAATTAATTGCTTCTATTATCATTATTGTTATTTATATTATTATTGTTATGCTTGTTATTATTATTGTTGTTGTTGTTGTCGTGGTTCTTATTAATGTCGATTGCATTTTTGCTCTTGCCAATGCTATCAGCGAATGGAATTCTCAAATTATTATTACTATTGTTGGCGTTATCATTGTTGTTATTATTGTGGATGACGTCATCTGCATCAATCCCGACAGGACGATGATGGTGATGGCGATGATCTTCTTCCTCTTCTTCATCATTCTCTCCGTCATTCTCACCATCATCGTCATCATCGTCACCATCGTCGTCATCATCGTCTTTATCGCCGCTACTAAACTCGTCATAAACGCCAACTCCGTTGCCACAACCGCCAATACCGACTGAACCGGTACCAGACGACAAATTAGCAGAGCCGATTTTACCACTTTTGCTGTTCGGCAACCGGTTGTCTTTCTTCCATTTCATGCGTCGGTTCTGGAACCAAATTTTGATCTGTCGCTCGGTTAACCCAAGCGAGTGAGCGATTTCGATTCGTCGCCGACCGTTGAGATAGCGATTGAAATGAAACTCCTTCTCCAGCTCGAGCGTCTGGTAGCGGCTGTAGCTCGTTCTAGCTCTCTTGTCGGCTATCAGGGACGACGACGACGACGACGATGATAAGTTGTTGTTGTGGCTGTTGTGGTTGTTGTAGTAGCCGTTCGTCGAAAGCGTGTTAGTCGCTGATGATGATGATGATAGTGAAGATGACGATGATGATGTTCCTGGTGTTGATGACGATGCTGTTTGGATTGGTCGGTGTTATTTAGTTAGTTATTTCTTTAGAATTAGTTTTAGAAAAGTTAATTTATTACACAATTAATCCTAATCAATCCTTTTTCATTGTCAGGAATAGTAAAATTACCATATTTTATTCATGCACTTACAATCACACACAAACACACGCACACACACACACACATACACACACACACAAAATACAAACACAAACAAACATTTCTTTTATTTACAAAATATCGTTACGGTATTAAAAATTAATGGGGGCTTTTTTAGCCGAGATTGTTACAGAGAAAAAAGAATAATAAAAAATAAAATAATATTATTATAATTATAGTAATAAAAAAAAAAAAAAAATAATTTTTTCAATTAAAAATTGAAATCTACCACGGTTTGTAATCCAAAAAATGCACACATACACACACAAAATACACAATAACCTACATTTTACATGCAATTCTACACACATATCTACACACATTCAGCATAAAGGTATGTATGTGTGCAGTGTATACACACATACATACATACGTACGTACATATACACATATATACATGCAAACACACACACACACACACAGGTCTACAAACATTCTCAAAGGCAGGCCAAAACACACGCACATATATACACACATACACATGTATACAGAATACCACACACACGCGCACATAAACACACACACATACACCTGTATACAGAAGCACACACACACACCACATGAACACGCACATATACGTGAATACAGAAACACACACCACTCACGTGCACACATACACGTGTGTACAGAAACACATACACACACAATTACACGTGTATACACGCACGCACGCACACACGCACGCACGCACGCACAAATGCGCAAGCATTCCTTTGCTTGAACACGGCTGTGAGCGCACGCAAGCACATATAACGCTGGAACCATTTGATATTTAAAAAAGGTTATAGACTAGACATATTATTAATGAATGAATGAGTGAATGAGTGAACGAATGAACTAACGAACGGATGAACGGACAAACGGATGAATGAATGGAAGAAGGAAGAATGGAAAGAGTAAACAAAAAAATAAATAGCTAAGTGAATGTCGGAATGAACAAGTTGAAGAAGAAATGAATGAACAAATTAACGAACAAAAGGAATAAATGGAACGAACGAGCAAACGAATGAATTAAAATGGATTGATAGACTGAATATATAAATAAACAAACAAAGGAATGATGATGATAATAATTATTATTATTATTACAATTATTATTATGATCATAATATTACATGGGAAATCTAGCGTGAACTGGGGAGCGAAAAATAATTTCCATTGGCAAACATACTTATATGAATGTTTGTATGCCGATCGATTGAATGAATGAATGAATGAATGAGTGAATGAATGAATGAACAGTGTTTACTTGATCAGGCAATTGACTTATAGAAAAGGCCTTATTAATCCCAATAATCCCAATAACAATCCATTCATTAAATTATTTAACAACTTATTCTTCAAATCATTCATTCATTCTTCAATACCCACCCATCCATCTATCCAACCATTACATTCATTTATTTATTCATCATTCATTCATCCGATCATTCATTAATTCATTCATTCATTCATTCAGACAGTCCGGTCATGCATTCATGGTACTTTTTTTTGGTTTGCCAAAATGACATTTCATAATGGAAACAAGATAGAGAGTATAATATGATAGAGAGTAAAATTTTTAAAAAAGACAACGGCAGTGGAATGAGAGACAGAGAGAGAGAGAGAGAAAGAAAGAGAGAGAGAGAGAGAGAAAAGAAAGAATGAAAGATTAAAAGAAAAGAAAGAAAGAAAGAAAAGAAAGAGGAATAGGAAGAAATGATTGAAAAATAGGGAAAAATGAATGATTGAGAGTAAGAGAGATAAAGTGGGATAAAGAATTGAAGATATAGTGAGAGAAAGATAACGAAAAAAGTTGAGAGAGAGAGAGAGAGAGAGAGAGAGAGAAGAGGTGAAATAGAGGGAGAGAAAGTGAAAGATAAAAGATAAAGAAAAGAGAGAGAAAAAGAGAAAGAGGGAGAGAGAAATATCACAATGACATTGTTGATATTGTTGATGTTACAAGTCTGACGCCAAAGTGTCTGGAGTGAAGTTTTAAAAATTACGAATCTATGTATGTTTGTATGTATATTTGTTTGTATGTATGTTTGTATGTATGTTTGTATGTATGTTTGCTTGTATGAATGTATGCATGCATGTTTGTTTGTTTGTTTGTATGTATATTAGTATTTATGTTCATATATGTATATGTATATGTATGTTTGAATGTATGTATGTGTGTATGTGTGTGTGTGTGTACTTAAGTACGTGTGTACGTATGATAACCGTTAGGTATAATTTGTTATATTTGATTAATTATAATTAATTACCGTATATTATTTATTATATATACTTAATTATTATTGATTACGGTTCTGCGTATAACACACACACACATACACACACACATACATACACACGCACACACATGCACACACACGCACACATACATAAATATATGCATTGCCCGTCAATAAACATGCGATTGCTTGATTCAAATAGTGACGACGATGATGACGACGACGACGAAGATGGGATTGATGATGATAACGAAGAAGAAGATGACGATGAGGATGATTATTTTTGTATGTATGTTTGTTTGTATGTATGTTTGTTTGTATGTTTGTTTGTATGTTGGTATGTATGAATGAATGTATCTACATGATTTTCAATTTTGAGAAGCGAATAAAATTTCGTTTCGTTTCGTATGTACGTACGTATGTATGTATGCATGAATGAATGTATGTATGAATGAATGAATGTATGTATGTATGTATGAATGAATGAATATATGTATGTATGAATGAATGAATGAATGTATGTATGACCCTTCATTGATTAACTAGCCATTGAATGGGCTATAATCATTGTCAGTTTCTGCTCTACTCTATGTTGTTGGGTCACACACACAGAAAGGTTATTTAAAGCCCCACCATGAATACAAGAAGAATTAAATTTTTGGAGTAGAATCGATATATATATTCTTTGATGCGGTTTTTATCTAAAGGGTTTTCTGATATTAAACAAGTTTTATTAATAAGTTCTTTTAAAAACAGATGTGGATTATCGGTCGGTCTGAAGGTCTCGATGCATACTGGCTGAAAGATTTCAGAGTCATTGAGAGTAGCCTAGTTAGAAATAGTTTTTGGTCGTACACTCTTAAGACCGCGGTATTTTCCTCTACCGATGTGAAAGAGATGTATCTATCGGCCATCGTGTGGGGGGAGTCACATCTCAGGCCAGCAAACGTCCAATAGCCCATGGAGAAATTGTGACCATTAGGTCTAAAATTACCATTCGCAATTAGGCCTTCCGGTTCTTTTATCATGGGTATATGAGATTTCTGGAAGCGGCGGATTATGAAATCATTCATCGCTGAATGTCTTGCTTGGGGTCCAGAGCCAAGAAAGCTCAATGGATCAACCTTTACTCTGCAGTAGCAAACATACTCAGTAACAACTGGCAAACCCAACCTCAACCCCAAGCTCACTCGGAAACATGTATGTATGTTTGTATGTATGTATGTGTGTACGCATGTATGTATGTATGTGTGTGTGTGTGTATGTATGTACGCATGTATGTATGTTTGTATGTATATACAGGTGTACATTAGCAATATAGGAATATTTATTTGAGAATGATTGATCGTTATCTACTCTACTACTGGTCTTTTTAATATAATTGTTTCAGATTATTGTTATTATTATTGTTATGACTGTTATTATTATTATTGTGGTTGTTGTTGATATTATTATTATTGTTTGAGGCAACATAAGTTTCGTGTTTTTTTTAAAATTTATTCATCATATTTTTCCTCTTCTTCCTCCTCCTTTTCTTCTTTCTCTTCTTTTTCTTCCTCTTCTTCTTCTTCGCCATCATTTTCTTCTTCTTCTTCTTCATCATCATCATCTTCTTCTTCTTCTTCTTCATCACCATCATCATCATCATCATCATCATCTTCTTCTTCTTCTTATTATTATTATTATGATTATTATTATTATCAATAGTATTTTTTTCCTTATCAGATTGGAGTGTAGTTGTGTAAATGAAATGCGATATATTGCTTGGCTATCATCGTCACACACGCAACATCGTTAGCACGCACGACCGAATGAATGAATGAATGAATGAATGAATGAATGAGTGAGTGAGTGAGTGAGTGAGTGAGTGAGTGAGTGAGTAAATGTATGATTGAATGAATGAATGACTAAAAGAATGAATGAGCGAACAAACGAACGAACGAGCGAAGTTAAAACGTAAGTTTAAATGAATAAATTGAAGAACGAATGAATTGATTAATGAGCTAATTGATGAATGAATAAATGAATGGATAAACAATTAAATATATAATTGAATAAATGAATGAACGATTGATTGAAACGAACGAATGAGCAATGAGATCATTACAATCATCTAAAAAACTCGTCATTACGTGTAGCCATTTTTTGGTTTACCTTTTATTCAATCTTTTTACACCTACCCACACACACACGTACACACACCACACGCACACACACACACACACGTACACACGCACACAAACACATACATACGTACGTACATTAACTTAGCGTTAGTCGATCAGATAAAATCATCTCTAATTAATAGTTACATTATAAAAATAACGTTCCATTCATCTTAATTATATTGTTTCATTGTATTAATTGTATTAATACACTCATAGGCACATATACACGCAAAAATACAAACATACATACAAACACACACACACACACATACAAGCAGAGAAACATACGTTCTCACAAACGTAGAAACAATTTCTAAAAAATACATCATGAAATTAATTAATTGAACCAACCAACAAACACACGCACACACACCCACACGCACATAAACACCCACACACACATAAACACACACACACATAAACACACACACACAAAACACACACAAACTCATCTAAAAACATACAAACGTACCAAAAAAAAACACACCGAAGAACACGTAAAAAACTATCAAACAGACTGATACACACACCAAAAAACACACCTTGAGAAGTCCTGGCATGAATCTTCTTCATCCAGGGGAAAATAACCGGCGACTTGGCGTTCACCAGATTCTCACCACCACCACCACCACCACCACCACCACCGCTGCCAACACCTAAACATTTATCCGAGAACCTCCTCAAACAATTGCTACTGTTGTTGCCCGATGACGAATTAGATGACGTCATTACGTAATAATCCATGCCGGATAGTAACGATCTAGGATCGCCGTTATGGTGATGATGATGGGAATGCAGAAACAAGGAATTTCCGTCCTCAAATATCGGAAACGGATCGTAAGTTGGGTAGAAATTTGGATAAACCGCAGAGTGAGAAGGCTTGTATGCCGGCAGAATGGAAGATGGGTGGGTCAAAAATGGTGGCGGAGGTTGTGGAGAGCTGGTTTGAGA